CGTCTGTTGCACGGATTGGGCGTTTTCTCCTTTCAAGTAGAAAAGGTACATTCACGGTCCGCCGTGACGAGGCGGTCACGCAAGAAACAGGTCAAAAGCGCAAAAGGAAATCCGGCCATTCTCCGTGAAGTGGATCGCCGATATTTGCTGACGTCGATTCCGCCACGGATTGCTAGAAGGAAACAAGTCGCCATGGTTTCGGCTGTTGCCTCACGAAACGTTTGCCAAGAACCGTCGCGAGAACTTTTCCTCGCTTATACGATCCTTTCCCAACTTTCCGCGCTCTTTCATTGACGGGGCTGAAGTTACAGGGCAAACTTCCAGAGCTTTGTCCAGCTTTGACGTAAACATAGATGAGCCAACGGTTCCGGATTTTGGCTGACACAAAATCGACGATCACGCGCGTAATTTTCAACGAGAACGTTACTTTGGCTAACGTAACATATCTAACCCCAAATGGGTGTTCTGCAGTTAATTGTTCTAATTTATATCTGTCCATTAGAAACAATATCTACTCTTTCGAAGGATCGACGGTGTTATCGGTATTGTAGGGAGAAGATAAGATGGAATTGCTAATCGCATCGGATCAAATGTTTCGGTCTTCGTAAGATCTGCAATTAAGCGAAAATTACTCGACGCTGTCCACGTTCCCCTCTTACGTAGGGGAAAAAGAAAGATTAGCCCCGGAAGGAATTATTTTTATTATTGTGAGATCGAGCCCTCTCACCCGAACGAGGAAGAAGAACAGTGTTTCTCAATCTTGTAACTGTCGTCTATCGTCGACATAATTTACAGTACATAACAAAATATCCAGATACGAAACATGTGATTAAATACAGTATGGATACAGTATTTCTGTTTCTCGTTTTATCCAAAACTTGCTAACAGTAACCATTCTCCAAAGTACTTGTACTTCAAACTAACTTGTTCGTATAATGCAAACAAGACTAACACGATCACAATGTGCAATCACGATGTTCAAATTAAAAAAAAACGCCCGTCTCTAAGATTAGAAAGCACTGTCGCCATTGAGAACACCTAATCTAGAAGCCCGGAATAGAAGCGATTCGGTGATGGCGCATTGCAAAAACGACTGTCGTCAATCCCGATGTGTCCAGATCGAGTCCAATTTGTGCCGTTCTTTTTCCCTCGACTCCAAACTTTATTATTATCAAATATATTTATTGCGCGCATTTCCAGACGCACGAACGTCCAAGCCAGAAATAAAACGCCGCGATTAAAACCCCCCGCAGCTTGGAAGAATCGCCTTTCGATTGTCCAAGAATCATCCCCCGTGCGACTGAAAGCACCCTGTTTATATCCCAGTGAACGATGTTTATGAAAAATATACAAGCAGGAAAAATTGTAGGAACACGGTGCGTTGCAGACACACGACGGAACACACAGCGAAATTGGAAAAGTTTCCAGGGTAAAATTAAATGGCTGGTGTCGTTCGGTCCTGGTCGCGGTCGATACGTCTAGTCCTTGCATCCGCCAGATACCGTCCGAGAGGGTAAGTTCAATCTCATCGAAGTTGCACGTGCAAGCATTGGCCCCATCTCAGGTGCATCGAGGCTTTCATCCCGGACGAACCAAGGGAGGAAACTCGCGGTAACTACACAAGCCACGGCACTCCACGGTTCGAGTGCATAACGCGTCCGACGAGCACCTGGCGCGTGGTTTAAGCCCGAATCTACACTCGTAAATCCTAAGAAATCTCCGCGTGGATCGATCGATCGCCATTTTTTTCGTCCCCCCCGGCGAAGTTTGATTAGCTTTGTCGGAGAATTTAAGCCGGAGGCCGTTGACCACGGACGCGGATTCGGTGTCGCGGGTCGCCGTCGAGCGCGTTATTTAAAGAGGAAGCCTCGACGACGAGCAAACTGCACGGAAAAGCGACCCGCGCCGGATCGTTTTCCCCCGATCTTCGGAATATTCTCCCGGGGCGACGCGTCTTCCTCGAGACGAACGATAACGCGCGTTTGCATCGGAACGACGGTAATATTTGTTTGGCCTTTGCTACCCGAGCAAAATAACGGCGGAAAAATACGAGGTGAACGCGTCCACTTTATCTCGGGGCACCTTCGTCGGATTTCAGCCGAAAAAAACCTGACCGACCGCCTGTGATCGAAACGCTGGATGTGTGTCAGAGGGGTTATTGAAACCTTCGTCGGTCGGATGTTATAAAAAATTCCAGCCAGAGTACCGAATATGTATTACAGCCGCGGCTGTAAAAGACGAAGTGGAAACCGCGGCAACCTTATCTCCCGTATTGAATTATTCCGTATATTCTCCGTATCGGAAATAAGAATTTTTAATACATTATAAGATTTTGCTCCCTCGCGAAACACTCTTCCGCATATACGTGGAATCGATACGATACGCACGGGAAACGTAAAAATATTTAAACCAAAGGTTACCGATCCGCGAACAACTCCGGTAATTCGAGGTTGGATATTAAATGGTTTATCAAGAAGTTTACTCTCGTCGTCCGCGTCTTTCGAAATAAAGTGTTCGCTTTGGTATTCGCTACTCCTCGATACTTGGCGCAACCAAGCATCAACGATCTGTTTAACGTTGCCCGTATCGTCTTTCCGCAACAAATCCCCATGGAAGACGAGGTCGAAAATATTAAACCTCGGATTATGCAAAGTTAGTTTAAACATGGTGGATATCTTGCTTATTAGAAATCGAAATTTTGTACGAGTCACGTTTGATTTCTGTTTGACGACCCTATAAACAATCAAAGTCTACGCCGAATATCGCGTAACCCTGGTATTAGCTTAATACGCGATCGACGTGCGTGGTCTGGAATTTATATTGCGTTATTTTAAGTCATCGTCGTAAAGCAGCTCGATGAGCACAGTACATAACAGAGCACTATATTTTACGAAGTAGAGTACAATATAAAGGCAAGTATATAATGTCGATATTATTATAGTAAACTCTTGATGAGGGATAGGTGATGAAAATGTAATCGATTACGAAGACAATACGAATTCAACGTCTCCTGAAAGTAGCGATAATAACAATGGCTAAAATGATAACGACAATGGGCAAGCACAGCCCTCGATATTACATGAATTTACTGGACAAGAGAGATTGAAAATATTCTAAGTCTATTAGCAGGCACTTCACCGTGGCATTTATTCGTTATTATTCGATGGTACAATTATTAATAAAATCCGCTTCTGGGAAAATACTCGAGCCATATTAAATATAAACAACGAGCATATGAAAATTGAAAGTATATTTTAATATAAATATATTTTTTTACAGATACACTGATCCAACACCATAATCCAAGAGCAAAGCTTACGAACAAACGTTAACTAAACGATCAACAACCACCTGCGATTGTTGTCTGAATCTTTCGAAACAAAATATTTACACACACGAGGATTAGCAATCTGGTCCGTTCGATATCTTCTCGGAGCTACTCGTCAAAGACTCGAGAGAAGCCATCAAAACGTGTTTCGGATGCGCCAGTAGATATAGTTCTACGAAACTAATTAAACAATTTCGGATACCCTGTGTAATTCAAATTAGAATTTTCTGAATGTCATACGTCAGCGGTAGCCAAAGCTCGTCGCCATATTGGAACAGTATTTTAAAATATATTACTTTAATATACTAATTCTTTATCTAATATTTATCACTCGTTTCTCAAACAATTTATAATTAAGTTTGTGCTTGGTAATCGCAGTCCGTTCTAATTCCTTCGATTGTTGATTTGTTAATCACAAACAGTGGCTAGATGTAATGAATTGTACAGCAATATGGGAACCGCGGTAAGGGTTTAGAGGAGCCGCATACAACTCGCCAGCCACCGTTTACCTACCATTGTTATCTATCTTTGGATTATACAGGAACTGTTTCTCTTCAATAAAGTATCAAACCAGCCAAAACGTAATCAAATACGATCATGCTCCCCCACATATCCTCGTGTATATTTTATGTATGCGCACAGAGTGACCTATCGAATATCCGATTTCGCTTCAACCGACCACACTTTCGTCTAATTAAATTTACTTCTTATCATATCGAGTAAGAAAACTGTTGAAACAAAAATCTTCGAATGCATTTATCGAGCTTTCCAAACGAAAACATTTACTTCCGCGAGTATCAACAACCACTTCGACGTCTTGCCGGAGCAACGTCGAAAATACGAGCGAAAGCATTGAACCTGTCTCGAGGGCGCCCGGTTTAAACGTAGTTATACCAGGGTAATTAAATTATTTTAGATACTCGACATATTGGAAATCAGAATTTCCTTAATATATCGTCGTACCCTCGGAACCGTCTCGCCTGAATGTGTCCCAAACTAACCGACGAGGAACGAAATACGTGCTCCAAACGCTACGAATCCGAAAACAAAATATCCAAATGCAAATGCCGGGCTCTCGAACGAGAACGTTAACTAAATTATCAACGCCCGCGAATGTTGTTCGAAGGAACAAAATATTTACTTCGCCCGTTCAACGGCGTTTTATACCGGTCGGGGGCGACTGGTCGGGTCGAAACGAGATCATAATTTTGTGCAATTTTGACCTCCGACACGCGCGTTAACCGAACGATCAACAACCACCTGCGATTGTTGTCCGAAGCGTTCCACAAAATATTTACTTCGGAGCTGCGTCGGAGGTATTCGACGGCGTTCGACGTCCTCTTAAAGCAGCTCCTCGCGTAAGGTACGAGCAGAAGCATTGACCCTAGGCTCAGGTGCACCGTCAGGTGCTTTCGAGTTGGTAGGGAGTCAGGTGAACCAACCTATGGAGAGAGAGAGAGAGAGGATAGGTGGAAGGTGGAGCGAACCGCTATGGAGGGAAAGCCGTCCGCAGCTAGAACGGCTGCGATCTAAAATACGCCTGGTGTACGGCGGGGGTGTGCAGGTGGAAGAGAAGGTCGGAAGGTTACAAGAGCGCAGACGCCGACCGAAAGCATCGAGGATAGCACCCGGCACGGTACCGAAGTACCGGACAGAGCTAGCTCGTCCGCATCGCTGTGTTCGTCCGACAGGCACACTCAGGGCAACCAGGGCACTCTTTAGACACACGTTCACCTGCGATCCACGTCGTGATACGCTACCGAGTTTCGCCCCCCGAGCACGCCGTGAATCGACCAGTCGAGAGAGACGTTACACGCACACACCGTCGCGAGTTACCGGCGGATTCGAAGAGCCACTCGAACCTTTCCCGCGCTCCGACTCCGACTACGGTTTTCACCTGTTAACCGAGCCGTCGCACTCTTCTTCTCAGTGGACTTTGTACAGGTAAGCACCGCACCACGTTTCGCTATTTCTTACAAACGGACCTCCGAGTATCGTACTCGAAAGTGACAGTGACAAACTACGCGGTACCTCGTGCCAGAGTCCCGGATTCGGAATCGTCGGAGTTTCGATTTCGAATATCAATTTCCGGTGGTCGACGTACAGTCTCGGGGTCAACTTAACGTCAGAGACGGGCGAAGACTTAAAAACTTCGTCGACAAAAAGTTTCCGTAGATTCGATTCGACGATCGAGAAAATCAACGATGACACTTTTCACGGTTAAGGCTATTAATTTTCGATGTAACCGGTGACTTGTTACCAAAATCGCTCTCGTACACGGAAGTAATTTGCCAGTCTCGGGACTATCGCGCGTGTTTGATGGGATATTAATGCTATTACACCCGATAATGTGGAGAATGCGTTTTCGCTGCATTACCCACCGCAACCGTAACCCCTAATCTACCCACGCGGATTTCCAGGTGGATGAACACCTGCGTACGGAACGCTCCCCTCGAGTATTACGATAAAACTCGCACGTTCCTCGTAGATCTAGCTTACGGGGGGTGGTAGAAAGATAATCATTCGATTTTATAGCAATTTCTTCGCTGAGCATCTTGACTTACGTATCCAATTTACGCTACGCGAGCAAAGGGACTGATTTCCCCGTCGTAGCGACAAAATTAATGTAAAACGAGCAAGATGGTAAACATCCGACTGGTCTACTCTCGTAAAGTTTGTTTACAAGCCTGCTATAGCTTCCGCGAGAGCGAAGCTGCGCTTTGTAGTTATTTTAATAACGGACTCCGCCCCTGCTTCCGTCTTCCGTTTATCGCCTACAAGGCAGCAACAAATTTCACCGTTATTAAACCTAGTGCACGCCGGCAAACGGTAATCTCGAGAATCCTGCATAAAGCTAGTGTCTTTCCAGGCCCGGAGCCTCGTCTTTGAAGGGTAATCCGCGTTTTAAGAGAACAACCACCCACGATTTCTACTCCTCGTCCGAGGGGAACGTTACGGTTTCCAATCGCGAGGGTCTTCGCGTCGATGTTTCCTAATTTCCTTCTGGCCCTATCCGAGCAACCGTTCCGTCAGCTGTCGGAAACGGCTCCCAAAACCCTCTCGAATCGTTGCTTAGCCGCAATATTCGCCGCCACTTTTAACGGGCCGTGCATCTCGCCCGATGGCGTTCGATTTCGATACTCCAGATTCGATAATCAACGATTCGAAAGAAATACCGCCTGTCAAACACTCTGACGTACAAACGGAAATCCAAGGACTTCTCTACACTCGAATTTAATTTAATGAAATAACAATTTCTTGAAAACGATCGAAGAGAGGCTTCAGAGTGTTGAAACTGCAATTTCTTAAAGAGAAACCGTATTTATAAAAAAAACTTTACGGAAATTATTTTTCATCGAGCGTCCCGCTACGCGACAGAGACAGGATCAAGCATTAGAAATATTAGTTACGCGAGGATGCAGCTGCGCCCCGTTGTTATTACAAAGAAACGCGTAGCAATTTCCTGCGGGTATTTTCTTTCGAAGTTAGCGACTCCCGTGGATGACGGTGTTCGTATATTTTTAATGGAAGCAAAACAGTACGGGTTTCTTTTCCAGTCGCGTTTCCTTCCGACATCCCCGACGCTCGAGACGTTAAACGCGACGGAAAGTAAATGACCGCGTTAAGAACATCGGACGCCCAACGTGCAAAATAGCCTCCGTGAGGAAATTATTGGCGAGCGATGCTTGGACGAGATTAATTTCGAGATCCGTTTGAAAAATATTCACGAAACTTCGGGAATCGGTGTCGTCGCGTTGGTAAAACTGTTTGTCTCGCGGGTTCAAGGCACGGAGGCATCGATAATTAGCTGGAACGAACTTTGCGACAAGTTTAAATAGAAACGACGCGGCTCGCTTCGCGTGTATGAAAACGCGAACGAGAAGTACCTCGAGAAGTTTTTATATAATCATCGCTGCAGCCTAGAACCGGAACTTGGAACGAGTTCTCGTCCGAGCACCAGCGAGTACTCCGAGTAACGGGCTGGAGAGGTAATAGATTTTTCGTATTTCTTATTTCAGTTGAGTCCAGTTCGTCGTGTACTTTGAAAGTTCGCGAGCTGGCCGTACTGTATCCGCGGATTATCGCGCTTTGCAACCACCGATCGACGCTGCCAACCCGAATCTTTTCGATCCTTGATACGATAGACAGCGGGAAAGCAGAAACTTCTACGAGACACGATTTACTACCAAAAGATTATTCTGCAAATATATCAGTGCGAACACGGTAGTATCGTTACCCTGAAACGGTGCACGTAAATAGAAAAATTCGTATAAGAACGGTATACGTTTTCCTCGAGTTTGCTTCGTCACGAAAACTAGAAAAGTCGAGTATCGGGACGCAAGCAAGATTAATAGATCTTCTACTTGCGTACATTTCCTTATACGCTAAGTGTAACAAAAATGTTTCAACAATTTCAATATTATTTTTGTAGTTTAGAGAAATTAAACTAGAAGTCGATTATGTTCCGGGTCGTTAGGACATTTTTCTGGAAAATCTCGACGACGATCCGCGACATTATAGTTCGCGACGTGTCGGTGTTCCTTGTCAAATTAATTAGTTTCCGGTTTAATGCTCGCCGAGTGTATTCCCATTAGCACGCAAAACATCGTCGCTAGGTCGAACTGCTCCTATGGAAACCGGTGTTTCTCTTTGTCTAACTCACTTCCGGCGGTTTCCTCGAAGTTGTTTCACCCCGTTACGTTTGCCTAACGATGGTCAGACCGAATAACTTTTGACCCCCACCCCCCTTCTGTCGCGAGGAAGAGATCCTGGGTGTCACGAGTTACTTAACCGACGAGTTTTGCAAAGCTTTCGATCGTTTCGCGATGATAATTTGCAATTACTGGCGGAAAATCCTGGCACCGTCCGAAGACTTGACCTACTTAACCGGAGGTCATTCGATGAAATTAAATTTATTATACGCACTGATTCGCTGTCGCTGGCAAAATCAGTTGTTATCGCATCGGGTACTATCTACGTAATTGAAATATCTTTGCCTGTGACATTATTCGCGCGATACCTTTTGTTACGAAAGCAATAAAAAGACGAGTTTAAAATTTGATATCCCGGTGGAAGAAAGACTCGGTCCAGTTTCGCAGCGTGGGCGATAACGCCCCCCAGGGGGGCACAAAACAAAAAATCCTTCTTCAGAAGCGTTTCAAGTAACAATAAGCTCCAGGGCGTCGTTTGGACATATTAGGGGGAACGATCATATTAGGGGGGACATGGCGGGTCAACGTAATGGCTAAACGGCTTAAGTTTCATTTACAAAACCGATGAATAATTAATTTCTCGACGCTGTTGTTCGCGGTGAAAATGTTTTTTAAAACAGAATTTTCAACGCGAAATTCCTGGTTTTCCCCGGCACGCGAAAATAGATTAAACAAGGTAAAGAATTCACCTCTGCAGTAATTTGTTTAACGTACCACGTACACGTTCCACAGGATTATGGTGGCCATTCGAATAATTCGATATATTGTTGAGAAATGATATTACAACGGTTCCAAGATTAGCGGTTTCCTTTGAAGCAACCCTGTGGTACGTACAGGACTATAAATAGTGGAAAGAAAATTAGTTTTCCGACAGCAGTTTCATCAATGTCCCACCTTGATCGTTCACTTATATCTGAATTGCATATAAGGTTTGCACGACACGGTCGTACTTCCTGTTTCGACGGAAATAGAACGAAACGTTTAAATAGTAAAATAACAAAGCTTATGATTTTTCTATCCTCGAACGTAATTGCACTTTTCGTTGGAACTTGTTAAAGCATCCCACGCGATGTAAATACGACTAAACCCGATTGCATAACACGCGTTATAATGCATGAAACTTGTTCGCGGAATCCGTTTGCGTAACTTTGGCGATTATCGTACGAATCTTCGATATTAACGCGTAAAAATCGATCGGATCGAGCCGACGGACGATGCACGCTCGGTTTTCATTCAGACATCTGTTGCGTCTATGTTCGGCGACTATGCTACACGAGGCCCTCTGATCGTCAAGGTAAATTGTAACGAGGTTTAGATCGGGTCGGGTAATGCCATTGTGCTACATAGGTCATTTCAAGCGATATTACAAAACGATCGTTTCAGCAAATTGAGTTTGTAACGCTGACTGAACAACGTTCCGGTAAACGGTAGACGCTACAACGCTTTACGCTATACCGACGCCTGCCTTATTCTACAATCTACCGACGACGACGTCGCCTAATACGCAATAGTACTTATCAAAAGTTATTGTAGGAAACATCCCTGCCTCCGAACGATTCTTACTTTCTTATTTTCTGAGAAGGATATTCACAATTTTCGTTATACCTTCTAGACCTTTTTCTGTACAAAACAGCGCTCTAAATCGTCGTTTGGGCATAACTTATGGGATAAGCTAACGTTTAATACATATACCACGTTAAATAGAATTACTGAAAAGTCCAGAACCAGAATCCAGAACCACTGGAAACGAGTGGAACCCATTAAAGCACTCTCTCCAACGAGTTTTGAAATGTTCCCAACGATCAACGTTTCTGGCCGTGTAAATTCTATATATCTCTATTATTTCCGTGCTCCAAAAGTCTCTGGATTCTTTCTAATTCTCACAATTTTCGAATTCTTTCGTCGTTATTCGGCGAATAAATAAAGAAAAGAGAAATCGGATGAAAAATTCTTCGACGCTTGTTTCTCGTGTCCGGTGTGTAAAATTCGCGTGAACCGCAGGAAAACGTGGGAGGCCAGTTTCGAACCGCAACGCGCCACGTCGCTTTACAGCGTCGACCGCGGTTAACAATAACAACGGGCCGTGGAATACAAATTCGCGCAACGTTGTTCGCGACGGTAACGATTAATCGCAATACGCTCCCGGCTGCATTAGCCCGGAACAATGAAGTCCCTGAAACGCGGTTTGTTACGGGCGCTGCGACGACCAGAAAACAATTGCACCACGAGAAA